CCTTCAGCTTAAGCACTCTTTGGGACCCTCTTTAAGGAAAGCAATGCAAGGAGACCCATTTGGTGACGAGGACTCAGAATGGCCGGGTGGTAAGGGGCCCGAGGCTAGTGCCTTGGATAGACCTGTCTCTGAGCTGCAGGAGATACCATTTGTCAAAGGAAGGAGTGACTTTAGACGGCTGAAGAGATTCTCTGTGATTTTCTTACCTTAGTAATACAATGTCTAAAGTTCTCCTGTTTTCACTTTTTTTATTGTTCTTATTAATCTTGTCCCTGGATTTGTCATTTAAAATAGAATACCGTTCCTTCAACTTCAAGTATGACTTAAAAACTTATCTCCCAGACATATAATAGTCTAAGATAACAGCAAATAAGACAGGGATATATTTTATTTACAGAGAATGCACAAGCACTCCAGGTCCATGAGTCTGATGTATCCCAGATTCTCCCTGTTTTCCAGGATTGAACATGACAACAGCTAACACTGCAGTCATAAAAGTTAGTGAAACAGTCCTGATAATGAGGAATAAGGCCAGAAGAAAGGATAATGAATAAATGAATTCCTCTGGAAATCAATTAATGTTTTTATGAGCAATAGTAAAAATATGATCAAGGGTTAGCAGAGAATGAGGTCAAATTATTTGATCCCAAAATATATTCTTTGTTGAATTCTATCAGCATAAAAATATTCTGTGCTGAGTCAAAATTAAAATCTTAGTGCTTCCAAGAGCAAGACATTTTATGTCAGAAAGTGCAAAACTCTTTATTTGGCAGGCTATGAACTCCTAATTTTTGTAGTACTTTCTGATTCCCAAACGTTCGTGGATCTCTGAACACATTGGTGTTCTAAATTATGTACCATGTGTCCTAAATACTACATAAAAGCATGTGAAAATACTTTGATTATTTTTCTGAAGAGATCTTTGTTGAGGCAAAGTATGCAATTCTATCCTGGGGTGAGTGATGTTTAATACTGGAAAATAAAAGTGATAATGTATTTCTATTATTTCTACCTTGTTATGATTCACTTGCTCATTCATTCATTCAATGAATATTGAATCCCAACTATATGAACTTACTGAGAACAAGAATTTAGTGTCAGGATAGGCAATATGAAGCCACCGAAACAGGCTAACACTTCAACTTGAATTCTAGGAGTTGGTACTTTCTCTCAAATAATCCTTTATAGTGGTGCTAAGCGTGTGGTGGCCAGCACACACGTCAGGACTTTTCCAGTGGGACTGGAGTACACTTTGCATGGACACCCTGTCTTTGTGTACTAGCCAATGTGCACAGCTCCCCAGCAACACGTGAGCCTGGTGATAGCGCGGGGCACGGTGCCAGGAATCTCCTTTTCCAATTGACATTACTGCATATTTGAACAAGAACATCCTAGAGGCTAAAGCTAGCATCTAAAGAAGCCCAAAGCCAATCCAGACACTGGAATCTATTTCTTTGGATGGAAACTACATCAACAGACCCGAGTGCACCGAGGGGCCCCCAGGCCCACGGGGGTAGTTAAATGCCTAGGTGAGAATCCTGGGGGCCTGGAGCGCAAGCAGGGCTGTCTCAGCTCTGAAAACGTGGCTGAGGGCCTATCACAACCTATCCCAGGACTTCATTTTCAAGTTACGAATGTCAGGGAATTTGGTTTTGACCTTTTTACATGTGAGAACCTTTTTGTTACATGAAAGATGTCTTGCATACCCACATAATAGGAGTCGTACTTTTAGTTTCTGTCGACAGTTGAGGAAAAAACTAAGTACAGGTGGATTCAAAGATGCTTTTCAACAAACTACCAACGGCGCCCAAGAAGCACCGGGATGAATGCTATCTAGGGCTTTCCTCTGCCCAAGACTGCAGGGTTCTCCTGAAGCTTATCTACCTATGACTTCTCCTTGAAGGCCACCGAGGATAAGGCCCTGGCTGCTCCTGGGGCAGCCATTTTTATTAGGAAAGGCAAAGAGAAATAAAAGAAAGGAAAGCCAGGAAATGAACCTCAAAATCCATTGGATAACTTCAAAATCCATTGGCTATAGACATACCAGGTAGCACACAAATGTAGATATAGGTTTTCTAGTCATCAGCTTCCAGAGGGAAACACTGTCAGGTGCTCAATTAGCAATGTACGTAAGGCCAGCTTTCTTCAGGACAGGCACAAGTACCCCTGATATTCAGATCAGACTTGGAAAATTCGCCACTGTTCCTCAAGCAAAGTTTATTGAGATGTCTTGAACCAGATACATCAAATTTCCCACGTAACCACCTTAATATGAACAAATAACATCATTGCAAACAGTATTTAGGAAAAGTAATTCTTAGAATGGCGAAAAGAGATGTAAGTGTGTAATTCTCTGCTGAAAATCTGGCTTGGTCCAGAGGTTGATTCTAGACTATTTGGAAAATTTTAAGCAATTTTACTGATCGTAAGCAATAAATACTGATTCAATCTTCGATTAATTATTAAATGTATCTGTCCTTATTCTATGCTGGACACTGTTCTATGTATTTTATACCTATTATCTCATTTAGTATTCACAATAATCCTATACAGGGTTAACATTATGAAGCCTATTTTAGAAATGAGGAAACTGTGGCAGAAAGATGAAGACCACTAGTATTTGCTGGGGCCAGGATTTAAGGCATCAATTCCACTTCCTGTTTAGTTGCTACAGAATTTCTTTAGCTTTAAGTTGGGTTAACATCCTTTTGTGAAAGTAGGGATTTGAAGGAAGAAGGCAGAGGTGAGAAGCTACAGCTGTGGGAATGGATAGAATCCTGGACGGCGCAGGTTGGAGGGAGACGAAGGTATGAAGCAAACGTTCTCATTGCAAAACCATTTGCTGATTTTTTTCCTCAGTGTTTTCAGATTGCAAACTGGTGGTGGTTTAGAATATGCTAGTGAGTTCTCCAGGCCCTTTAAGATGGAGCCCAATTCCCTGCCCTTTGAGGGTGGGCTGGACATGGTACCTTGCTTCCTGGGAGTAGCATAAAGTGAAAGGGATGGTGTACAACTCTGGAGAGGAGGGCACTGTGGCACCCTCTTTTGTATCCCTTGCTCCAGGGGAAGTTAGCTGTCACCATTGTGATGAGGCCACCTGATGAAAATGTGGCCTCTGACAACAGCCAACGAGGAACTGAGGTCTTTGCCAATAGTCATATGATGACTCATCCTGGAAGTGGGTCTTCCAGCTCAGCCAAGCCAGCAGAAAGCTGTGCCCACCTTAATGGCCACCCTATGAGAGCCCCTTACAGGTGATTCCTGACCCTCAGGAAGTCTGTGAGGTAATAAATGCTTATTATATTAGGTTGTTATAATTTGGGCCATTTGTTACGTGGCACTAATCAACTTATACACAAATCAACAAGGATACCTCCTCAAACAACGAAACAGACCAAAATAGACTCACTACCTAGAATTTCCAAAGCACAGAGGAACATCCTGAGCATAGCCATCTTCCTTTAGGTAAAGTTTGTCCATAAACTTTCTTAATTCAAAGGCACTGAAGCAACTCGATTCACTCCTGATGGAGTTTTCATGATTTGAGGCTCAAAAAACACATGTTATTTTCAATGTATTATGTAGAAAAAGGAAGATATGGTCTTCAAATCTATAAATTACATAAAATTCTTAGACTTTTCATAGTAAAATTGAATAACTGCATGCAGAAGATGGACTAAAGAAACTGTCCACCTCATCAGGAAAGTTAAAATCGTAAAACCCAGTGGGACAACAGCAGGCAAGTCATAGGCAGAAGCATACAATTTAGCCCTTTGTACAAACAACTGTGACTCTTTAAAAGAAAACTTTCACTAACATGCTGATCCCTGAACCTGGCAGCCTGCCTAGGCCACACAAGATCTGTGAAGATGACACCAAAGCTGATGACCACAGAGGCCACAGACCTGGTTTGATTTCCATGTTCCCCAGGGTGGCAAAGGTTAGTTGAGTTCATCCTAATGCAATTATTACCCTATTATTACAGAGGCTCTCCTTCCCTTTAGGCATCATTGGCCCCTCATTATTTTCCAACTTCCACTTGCTGCATCTATTTCTCAGCCCAGGGTTTCATGAGTCCCATTGCACAAAAGATACGGAGCTTTCCTAAGAACAACAGATGCTGAATTATGTGCAGGTGACTTAACAGGACTCAGCCAAAAATTAGGTGTGGGTAATATCCACCTGCTACCTACATCCTTCCTCCGCAAAGCTCCTCATGAAGCTGCAGTTTTAAAAGAAACGTTTCCCATCAAAATTCAACAGCATTTTCTAAGCACATATGCTTCCTTCCTTTTCCAGCCTGCGTGAAATTTAATATCAGGATTATTGCCCATTTGCCATTCAACCTATAATCTAGTGAATCTTTGTGGGCTGGAGTTTTGCTTCTCTACCCCTCAACTGCCAACTTATAGACAGAGACTCACTCAAAAAGCCGGCCGGGTCACATGCTTTGACCTTTTGGAACAACCGTTTTCCACGTTTCTTATTCTTCCTCCCTAACAGGCATCATTAGCTTTGTTCATCTCTATTTAAAGTGAATTTTATGACACAATAACATTTCAGGTTTTCCACATTAATCTTCACCTTATTTCTTGAAACACTTAGGTGAACAGTGTCCTACGGCAGCCCTCCTGGGGAATTTCCCTCCTTCACTCCAGCTACTTCAAGGCAATGCTGGAGAGAGAGGACAGTTCTGCTCTGAATCATACAAGCCCTGGTGGGAAAAAGTGGAAAAGTCTGGCGCAGCGGTTCACAGGGCTTAGAATAAACATTTTGATAAGCAATTTAAACAGAAAATCTCCGTACAACTCCTCCCCAAATAAAAATATGTATTTTCTTATGTGGGGTCCTATGTGAGAATTTAAAACCCGATTTTCCTACATATCAGTTCAAAAATATCTCAGTCCAACAAGAAATTGAAAATAAAAATATAATCTTAGACCATTTGCAAAAGCCATCCAACACAGTGCCCAACACCCCCGGGTGCGGGCAGTACTCACCCCACAGCCCAGGCCGTTGCCCGCTTCACAGGTGACCTTCCTCTGGCCTGCTTCGGGCAGGAGCCCGGCTCCACAGCCAGGGCGGGGGCACAGCACGCCCCCCATCTGCAGCACGCACTCTTCCACACCATACTGCTGGTACCGGTTGTACTGCAAGAGGACAAGACAAGATGAGCTTTCAAAGTGGTCACATGTGGACTAGAAGGCACTGTTTTAGCCCAAGGTTGATGGTGATAGAACCTGGGATTTCCTGCTTGACATGATTCCGGAAAAAAACAAGAAAATAAAAACATGTGTGGGGGTCAGGGAGGGATGGGGGAGAGCAAGGAGTCCTCCAGTAAATTTTCCAGTTTGGTATTTAATGATATGGTAAATAGTCTTATTCATATAAATTTTAAAGAATCGATGTGCATATTATAATGATTATGATACATCATTATCAATCTTATAAAGCAATATATTTTCATGCTTCTCTCAGAAATTCTAGCAAACAGGCCATGTGTTTGACCTGGTAACTGCTGGTGACCCCTGTAATAGCCATGAGCATGCTCAGCTTCAACGAGAGGACTAAGTCAAGGAGCACCATTTGCCTTTCATTGTTATTCTTACTTGTGAAGCAGGTTTTCTTTACCCCAATCCCATCTCAATGGACCAAGCCTGGCAAGCACACCTCCGCCATTGTTTCCAATCCCCTCCCACCCAGCAGCCTCAACAGGACAGCATAGAGCCCAGGACAGCCCCAGGCTGAGCCACAGCCTCCCGCAGCACCAGGTCTGGAAGGGAGGATGGGAGGGGGTGTTGGGGGCGGGGAGTGGGGCCACAGGGACACCAAGGAATCAGAAAAGCACCGATGGTCAGTGTGCCTGTGTGTGTGCTGGTGTTTGCACTGTGGTCTGGAGATGTCCCTTTCCTTCTCCCACGGCTGGCTGGGCAGTGGGTCTGCGACACCTCTCCTTCCCCAGCACAGGAGAGGTCACCAGGCCAGAGGATCCTCTCACCTCACCTGGCTGGAAGAAGACCTGCAGTGTGGGTCTGGAAAGTCCTGTCTTCTTTCTTTCCCTTTCCCTTCCTGAGACTCTGGAGGTCCCCTAATCTGGGAGCCCTGAGAAGGGGGTGAACCTGTTCCTCCCCACAGAAACTCCCTGAGGAGTGACTCAGTGACTCGGGACAGACCAAGGATGCTGACTGGCAGTGAGGCTCTGCAGGCCACGAGGAGTGGGCCAGGGTGGGGGGCCCTCCCTCCCCACCACTCGGGGTGCACCTGTACCTTTCAGGGTCCCTCCCTGTCTGGAGAGGGTGGTTGGGATCTCTCCTCTCTGGGTCATTTCTATCCCTCAACGTCCTTCTTGGGCACCAGATCTCATGCTCTTCCCACAGGTCCTTCTTGGGCCAGAGGCCTGGGCTGCTCCCCCAAAGCCTGTGCCTCTAGAAAGTTCTCTCAACTACATACTTGGTTCAGTTCCCTTTATTGGTTTCTTTAGCTGCCGAGTAAAACCATCCTCCGTGGTATCATTTTCAAGGTCTTCTTCATTACAGTTCTAAACTATGTTCTCTTTACGTTAGGCAAGATCATTATTCTCCAAACTCTGATCAAGTCAAATTGATTTGCTCAGTTACAAATGAATTTGGGCAGCACTGAGAGCCCACTATGTGCCAAACATTACTGTGGATGTAGAGGATAAACACCTCTGTCCTCACCTACAAACCATAGCAATAAACCCCAGAGAAGAAACGCCTAGTAGTATTTTCAGTGGTGATGTGCGAAGGAGAGTAATAGAGATTCAAGGGAAGATGGGGATCACACTTTTAAAGAGGTGACTGAGAAATGCCTTATAAAGAAAATACACTGAAGCAAACATCTGGAGGAGACCACAACACAAGCCCTATGCTCTCTGGGGAATGAGCTCCATAGAGGAACCAGACAACAGAAGGAAAGCCTTGCGGCCGTGATTGCATGGTTAGGAGGCCCCGTGGCTGAGGCACAGCGAACGAGGGGAGATAACAGAGGGCCAAGGAGAGCATTTGTGGGGAGCCAGGGTGTCCCGTCCCTGATGGCTGTTGTAAGAACTCCACTGTTATTCTGAAAGATACCAGAGCCGCTGGACAGCTCTGAGCTTAGGAGACACGTGACTTGAGTAATGTTTTGTTCAGAATGGACTTCAGAGGGCAAAGGGGGTACAGGAAGCAGAGGTGCAGGTAGAGGCTTCTTTGAGCATCTCACACAAGAGACGATGGTGGCTTGACCCAGGGAGGTGGCAGTGGAGGTGGGATTGGTGACTGAGTTTTGGATATATTTTGAAGGTAGAAATGGCAGAGTTTTCCTATAGATTGGATGGCTGGTGTGAGAGAGTACGAGGAGTTCAGTATAATGTTTTCCCTGAGAAGAAGGGGGCTAAGGAAACAGGGAAGAGGAGGGAAGGATAACTGTGTGTATAGATACTGTGTGTCTCCCAGGAGTGGAGAAAAGAATCATTAATCATTATTTCCATCATGCTCATGTTCAGTCCAACCTCTATTTAATAGGTAAGTAAAAATGTTGGCCAGCTCATTGAATGGATGAGTTTGGGGTTTAGAAGAAAGGTAAAGATGGCTGTAGGTACAATTTGAAGTTATCAGTCCTTTCCTCCGTTTTCAACTTTTCTGGTCCCAGGAAAGAAAGAGAGATGACCTGGCCAAGTTTCTTTGTACACATGTTAATGAACCTGCCAACCATGGCATTTACTAGGAAAGAGGTCTTCCTGTGGCATTTCTAAGACAGTATGTGGTAAATAAATTAGAATCTGTGGATTTATGAAATAGGACTCTCTTGAAAGTGTCATGAATTATGCAATTATCAGGGGATGATATGAAGATATTTCATTAAATGACGAGTGATGAGACAGTTTATATAATTAAGAAATTACATGTTAGCGATTATTCCATGAATTTCTTAGAGTCCTTGAATATAAATCTTATCTACAGCACATCTTAATATGCCAAAAAAGGATCTGAGGAACCACTTTGGTGACCTGGACTTCTTCATATTTTTCCTGTGCCTCTTAATTACTTACAATCTTGAAATTATTAGTAATACTTGACACTAGGTTAGATCTCTGATTCTGATATGTCAGGATTGAAAATGGGACTCTGTCATAAGCCATGAGACTGGACAAGATTGTCCAACCTCCTCAGGGAAGATGAGAAGAAGCTGGCAAAGGACAGCAGCACCTCTGAGGTAGGTGGAAACCGGAAGGGTGTGGGTGCCCTGAGAGCCAAGGGAGCCAAACATCTCAGGCAGGATGTGGTGATAAAGTGTCAAGGCTGCTGATAAGCCAATGATGGAACACTGGGTAGAGTTAAAAATGTAGCTGCAACAGCCCCATAGTTGCGTCCTGGAGCCAAAAGACTCACCAGAGTGGACCAGGTCCCAATTAGAAGGGGCTGGGGGGCAGACAGGTTAAAATTGTGGACATCTACTCCAACAGTGAAAACAGAATTAACTCAGAGACTGTCAACATCACACCTATGAGGGGGGTCTCAATTTAGTTCACTCTCATACCCCTTTAGAATATGCACAGTTGTTCAGTGAAGAGCAATGATAGAGCTTATATCCCACATACTCTGTGTATATAACACAAATCCTGAATCTACAAGAAAGACCCCACTCTTGTGAGACCTACAGGAAAAGTGAGATTCTCAAGCTCTGACACAATAGAAACTGTATGAAAATATACTGGTTATCACAAAAAAAAACCCCAAAACAAAAACAAAAACAAAAACAAACCTAGCAAGGAAATTATACTATGAAAATCCCTTGGAAATATATAGAAAACTTCACAATAGCCTGATATCCCAGAATACTTTGACAAGAGAGGTCTATACCCTAAAAAGGCATGCATATAACAATGGAAGAGAAATCCATCCCAACAGATGCACAAAATCCAGCATAGGAAAACAAAGAACATGAAGAAAACACAACATAACACTTCCTAAAGTTCATAATTCACTAACAACTGACTCCAAAGATATTGAAGTGGATGAAATAATAGAATTTTCAAAAGACTAGCAAAATGATCAATAAATTCCAAGAGAACACAGAAAAAATAATTAAATAGAGAAGTCAGTATAGAAAATGAATGAGAAATTCAATAAGAAGATAGAGATACTGAAAAAGAATCAAACATAAATCATGGAAATGGAAAGCCAATTAAATTGAATAAAATGTTCAGCTGAAAAATCTCTCTAATAGAGTAGACCATACAGAAGACAGAGTCTCAGACCTGGAAGACAAAGTGGCCAGCCTTGAACATTCAGATAGTATTAAAGAAAATAAAATAATTAGCCATGATCAAAATATATAAGATCTCTGAGACATTAAGAGACAAAATTTAAGAATAACTGGAATTGAAGAGGTTTGTGAAAAACAGGCTAATGGTACGGATAACCTCTTTAGGGAAATAATAGCAGAAAATTTCCCAAACCTTGCAAATAAGATGGACCTCTAGATACAGGATGCATTCAGAACCCCAAATAGACAAGATAAAAAAGAACCTTTCCACAATATACGATAATCAAAATTCCTAGCATATAGTACAAAGTTAAAACTTTAAAAGTCTCAAAAGAAAGTAATCAGGTCACATTTAGAAGAAAAACAATCAGAATTTCTTATGATTTCTCAAAACTCTAAGATCCAGAAGGGACTAAAATGATGAGTTCCATTTCCTAAACGAAAACAACTGTTGACCATGGGAGACAAATAGGGAGAGAAAGGGAAAATACTGGGAAATATTATTAACAAATTATATTGTTATAACATGTGCAGGAATGACTATATAACAACAAATCCTACCATGATGTATAATTATAATGCAGCAATAAGAAATATGGAAAAAAGATGAGTTAACCTGAATATAAAGTCATGGGATTTCACTTTACTCCCACTGAATATCTTAAATATTTCACTTCCTGTTCTGTCATAAAGTGTTATGGAAAAGCCTAATAACAACATGTTGGGTTTCCCCCCTCTATTAATTAATTCATCTTTTTACCCTGATGCCCAAAGGATTATTTTCTTTTCTTTGAAACCCAGTAATTGTATTAGAATATGTCTCGAGTTCACCAAAATCAATAGAAGATAGGAAATAGTTAAAACCAGAGATGAAATTAAGAAT